CATAATAAATAAATCTATTTTTATAACAAATTGTGATTTTATTTATATGAAATACTTTTCACTTAACACGATAACGATCTTTGGGATCTGAGAATTGAATTAGTGGGCAATTCTCACTGTATACTATTATTATCCCATAAATATCCCCACAGTGTTGAAACTATGTTTTTTCAATGTTTAAATTATTTGCTCACTGAGAACTACAGCCAGCAGTGAGCTAGTTAAATAGCCTAATCAATTATCGTATCTGCTACCAGCATCGGTTTATTGCTATGTGCTGCATTCTGTCTGATATGACTTTCTAAAGCAATTGCCTTAGCATTTTTGTAATGATTTATCTTTGTTGGTCATTTATTACAATAGCCTTTGAATTCTAGAGGAGATTTATATTTAATGTGTGTAATTCTTTTGGAAATTAACTGGATGTGCTGGATACTGTTTCACTAATAGCTAAAAGTTTATTATTTCATGTGTACTAAAATCTGTACTATTACTTGCTATGTATACTGACCCCTACTTGTAGATCATTTCTGGAGGTGTCAACTAACCCTAGTTATCTTTTTGTAATCATAATATTGCCATATTTTATTGTTATCAAATATTCACTGATTGTCATGTATGTGTACATTATTAGGATTTGTTCACAATCAATATATATTTTTGTAATTTTTGCAAATCACTGTGAAAAATGTAAATCACTAACAAATGTGCTCCATGGTCTACAAGAGTTAAAAATAGTGAGTTAACTCTTAGCTTTATTAATAAAGGGATACAGTCCAAAATATTTTTTGATATTAACAAAAGTTATAAATTTTTTGATAATTTTTATAGAATATTATTTTTAATATTTTAGTTACCCCATAAATATTCTCACAAATCATCCAGCTCTCATATGATGTTGTAACCTCCAGATGCCACATGATGAATAAGCAGAAATGAAGTTTAATATATTTATTTGACACAAATAAATAATTGCAAAACACTGGACCATAAGCCCCTATTGTCTTTGTTGTATATGATACTAAAGCTCCTGAATCCAGCTACTAGCATTATGAAGTGTGTAGCAGAACCCCTTTGGCTGTCCAATCTATTCCCTCTTTATGGTTGGCTCTTAAGAGTTTCCTTGTGCCTGGATTACACAGAATCACTACCACCATGGGTGGCTATACTTTGTTCGGTATACAGATGTAACAGCTTGCATGTGAATGGCTATTTTCACCATCCGAACTAAACTACCGAACAACCGGACCACCCTGGTGTGAAGGGTGGCTGTAATTTACATCCCTGATTGCTTGTTACATTCTCTTGAACGCACGAACACTCGGTTGTATTCCCTGGGTGGCCGCCATTTCGGCAGCCGAACACGTGGCGGCGGCCATCTTAAACCCGTGAACAGCGGTGTTTGGTCGTCGAGTGTCTGGAACTCAAATCGGACACTCGGCTAACCAAACACTGCTGAGACCTCCAGGACGACTGAAAGTACTGAGTGAAACACCCGAACGGCCCGTCGTTCGGTAGGATGAATCCCACGAACTAGGAGATTCATCCAGTTACAAACTTAACTATGGATGGCATAGCCTTTTGGGACTTTTGAAGCACGAACAGAGACTGACCGCAGGGCCAGATCTCATGGAACTATTTTCGGCTACTTTAACCATGCGGTCGGTCAAATCTTTACCTTCTCATAACTCCCGAACCCCTGGTCTGATCTGGGTGATTTTTGGATATGTTCCTCACCCAGATCAGGGCTATATTTATTTAAAGGTGTATCTCCCAGATTTGAGGTACTTCCAAGAATTGGGGAAAAGTATGCACCTTATAATTATGTTAACTGTTAATCTAAGGGGAGGAGATGTGTGGGAGGTAACATCTATGTGATTGGTTACTGTAGTAATTATGGTGAGTCCCTCCCTTGCATGGCAGAATCTCATAAAAGCAGGAATGTTGCCATTAAACTTCAGTTCTACTCCTGATACTGTGTGTCGTCCAGTGATTGGGAAAGGTGATGGGATACTATTGGATTTTATTGCTGATTGTGCTGGATACTCTCTTGGATTTACTACTTGTTCCTACATTCTTTTAATATATCAGTGGAGTTAAGCTGTGGGAAATCAGCTCTCCGCTACAATGTGTTTTGCTGATTACATGGCTTCCTGTTCATCGCTACATATTTAAGTATACCCACTGGCAGGGCAGATTCTGGATTGGTGCCTGGGTTGCACAGCGCCAAAGCGCCAGACGGTGGTGCGCGACACAAGGAGTAGGTCAAAAGCCTGTAACAGGGGGTTTGGGGGTGTCCGACTGGCCACCTTAGGATGCCTTCGAAGGAAAAGTAGGCACCTGCTTACCTGGATGGCAGGTGCCTACTCTGCAGAAATACAGTGTGTCTGGGGGGGGGAGAAAGAGTCATAAGGCAGCGGTGGTTAGGGAGAGCTGCTCCTCACTGCTTCTTTGTGCGCCCTCTCTGTTGATCCTGGGAGCTGAAATATGACGTAATTCTAGCTGGCATCACTAAACAGTGCGAGGGGCAGTAAGGAACTGGAAGAGCACAGAAGCTAGTGGACCCCAAGGAGAGGACCCACACCAGATCTCAAAAAGGTAGGGAAGCTGGATGATCCTCAAAAAATAAATATGAATCTGTGTGCAAGAGTCTGTGAGTGTGCCTGTCAGTGTGTGTCTGTCTGTCATTGCGTGTGTGTCTATCACTGTATGTCTATGAGTGTGTCTGTCAGTGTTTTTCAGTGAGTGTGTGTCTGTCTGTCAGCCAGCAAGTGTCTGCCAGTGAGTGTGTGTGTCTGTCAGAAAGTGTGTTTTTCTGTCAGTGTGTGTGTCTGTCTGTGAGTTTGTTTCAAATCAGTGAGAGTTTGTCTGATAGACACACTGACACACACTCTCAATGACAGATTAAAATTCTCACAGATTTGAAACATACTTACTGACAGGCACACCATAGGTGTGCGCAGCCTGTTGCATTAGGGTGTGCACCCTAAAGCACAAACACACACGCCGCGTGTATATGTATTTTTATATACACATACACACAAATACATATATATACATACATACACACACACATATATACAAATGCAAATATACATAGGTGCACTGTATGTGATTGTGAGTGGTGCAGTGTGTGTGTGATTGTGAGCGGTGCAGCGTGTGTGTGATTGTGAGCGGTGCAGCGTGTGTGTGATTGTGAGCTGCATGCAGGGTGCGTGTGTAATTGGCCAGGGCATGGAAAGTGTGTACTCAGGAGGAAATGCAGTGTGTTGGGTACAGGCAAGGATTGGGTGAGGGATGCAGTGTGTGGGGGGTGGCTATGTGTGTGTAATTGTGAGGGGTGCACTGTGTGGCACAGGGGTGGAGGGGCAGTGACAGGGGTCAAGGAGGGGCAGTGACAGGGGGTAAGTGGAGGCACTGACAGGGTGGCCACCTGGCAGTGACAGGGGAGCCTATCACTGCCAGTGACAGGGACTTGGGGCAGACTGGCAGTGACAGGGCTGGGGCAGCACGCGGGTTAGGGGCAGAGGCTGCGACAAGGGCCAGGGGTGGGGTAGCCACATAAGCCAGGTGGGGCAGGAGGGGAATGTGACAGGCTGGGGCAGTGAAAGGGCCAGCAGAGGGCGTGACAGGGGTGGGGGAAACGAAGGGCAAGTGACAGGGTAGGGAGCAGAGGGGGCATGAGACAGGGGCAGTGGGTAGAGGGGCAGTGACAGGGCTGCAGAGGGGTAGTGAGCTGGGCTGGCCAGGTGAGGTGCAGTGACATGGGCAGGGGCAGTGACAGGTGTTAGGAGTATAGAGGGGTATGTGACAGGGCTAGGCAGTGACAGGGGTCAGGGTGGGCAGTGACAGGGTGGGGAAGTGGAGGCAGTGACAGGGGTAGAGGGTAAAAGTGACATGGGTTGGGGACAGAGGGTAGTGAATGTACAAGGGTGAGTGACAGGGGTTGGGGGTCGAGTGGGGCAGTGACAGGGTGGGGAGGGAGTGGCAGTGACAAGTGGCTAGGGGTGAGACAGGCTGGTGGGTGCAGACAGAGGTTGGAAAGTGGTGCAGACGGGCAGTGACAGGGGGTGGGGGGAGTGGAAGGGCAGTGAAAGGGGGTAGTGGGGCAGTGGCAGGGGGGTAGAGGGGCAATGGCAGGGGGTAGAGGGGCAGTGGTAGGGTGGAGGGGAAGTGAGTGACAGGGGGTAGAGGGGGGTTTATAAATACCTTCCGCCGGGAGTGAGCTGCAGACCACATGGGGAGTCTCGCAATCTCTAGACAGAGCATCGCCACGGCAACGCTCTGACAGGCTGGAGATCGCGAGACACCTCAGTCTGCAGCTCACTCCTGGCGGAGCTGCAGACTGAGGCTGGATCTCCGGCAGGACAGACTGACAGGAGGGGCCTCGCACCTGGCGGCTTTGAGGGCAAGGCGCCGGGCCCCCTCCTGTGTTGGGTCCTGCCCTAAGGCAGTGCAGCACGGAGGTGTGATTAGGGTGTGCCTAGGCACACCCCGTGCGCACGCCTATGAGGCACACACTGACAAACATTTACTGACAGAAACACACTCACTGATAATCAAAAACTCTCAGAAAGAGATACACACGCTCATTAAAAGACACACAAACTCACTGATTTGACACACACTCTCAATGGCAGTGAGTGTGAGTCTGTCAAGGTGTATCCAATCAGTTAGTGTGTGTGTCTGTCATTGAGAGTTTGTGTCTGATTACAAAGAGGTGGGGCTTATAGATAAAGAGGTGGAGTCACTGCCATTGAAACATGCATGGGAAGGAGCTACTAGTATGACGACACCTGCAAAAAAACCATTCTCTACCCAGGTGTCGGTGACCTTAGGAT